AAGCTTATATTGTGCTAAAGTCTTTCACATTCCTTATCTTATTGCAGGCAGAGACATTATTATCCCTGTTTTCCTGCTAAGATCCCCCACCTGAATCTTGGGATCACTTAGCTAATTGGTTGGGAAGCCAGGTGAGCACCAAATCCTGCACCCTCCCTGATGTTTGAAGGTTGGTTAGTTCCCCATAGGAACGCAGGACTCTCAGGGTCCTGGAACAGAAATGAGCCTCCAGAGAATATCTGGTTTTCTCCCTGGTTTTAGACCCGACCAAATTATCCTAAACATTCAATACCTCTTATTTTCTTAAACTTCTCTAGGGAATGAAATCCATAACTCTCAGCTTGGTAACAAATAGCCACTCTCTGATTAGAAAGCCATTCTTTAGGTCTATCTTGGGTCTTTTTGTTTCAAAAAGGAGGAGAAGAACCAGAAGAAAGAGGAAAGAAAGAAGATTGGTAGAGAAAGTGTTTTTCACTACTTTGTTGGAGGAAAAAAAGCATTAAAGGGCTTAAAAAAAAAAAAAAAAAGGACAAGGAACTTGCCATTGGTTACTAGGTCAATTCACAACAGTCCACAGCAGAACTGACATAACCTCATGTAAGAATGGGATCATATGCATCTTCCAAAGTTCTTTCTCATCTTCTGTGGCAGCTAAGCTTCACACAAACCCAGGGGGCGGGCTGAGCTGGCTTCAGTGCCAGGAGCTAATGAGCAAATGGAAGCCTGGGAATTTCCACCAATGCTCCCAGGCAAATCCACAGCTGAGCCAGGGCTAGAATTCCAGTCTCCTCACCCAGGATTATAAAGTTAAATCTCTGTACCCATCAAAAACTCATGTTGACTTTAAGAGAGTATCAAGCTTTTTATTCTGGTGTGTTCTTAACTCAGTGCCCAAGCTGAGTTTCCAAGTTCAGGATTGCTAGAGGTAGCATGATCCCTGGGGACTTCCTTAAGAGAACATAAAGTCCTAGTTGGCTTCTGCCAGCTGGTTCTGGGGCAGAGTCCACAGAGCATCTGCAACTGTACAGTGGCTGGCTTTGCCCTGTTCAGGCCTGCTAGGGAACCAGCAACACTCAAGGCTTCCATTGAGATATTGTTCTTCAAGTCTGTCCAGATCCAGGAGCTGTGCGATTTTCTAGAATTTGAGAGAGATGCTGCTTTTTGTTGCAGGGTCTATATGCATCTCTCCAGAAGAGCTGGAGGAGCAGATCAAAGAAGCAGGCCAAGTTTAGGACTTGGGGAGGCAAACCTCCAAATCCTCCTCCTCATCTGATTATTTAATGCAGGCCCTGCTGACCTGGGTGAAGGAAGCTACGTCTACACATTTTGTCATTTAGGGGGGATTTGGAAACACTCTTTCCTGATTTGGATCTGTCAGAAGATGCTAATCGGGAACAGTTTACCATTTCCTTTCCTAGGTCCAACCATGAGTGTATAGACCTTATTGACTTACTCTGGATCTCCATCCTCTCTGCAAACAGTGTCCCTACATCTCAGGAGGCTTGGTGAATTCGGGTATAGTAACCTGCCAGCAATCTTCAAACCTACATTCTGATCATAAACACTCAAGGCATTTTTTTTTTTTCTTTTGTGCTGGGGAAGCAAGGCAAGCACTCCACCAACTAAACTATATCCCCAACACCACTCAAGGCATTTTTACTTATCTGTTTATGTTTTTGCATGGTGTGAGGATCTAATCCAGAGCCTCCTGCATGCCAGGCAAGCTCCCAGACCCTATCCTAGATGCCCTGAGTCAGAATTTCTAAGACTGAGCCCCATAAGTCTGAATTCTTATTTTTTTAAAATAATTTTCAACTTTTAGGGGGCTGGGGATATAGGGATATAGTTCAATTGGTAGAGTGCTTGCCTTGCATGCACAAGGCCTTGGTTCAATCCCCAGCACCACACACACACACACACACATCAACTTTTTATATATGTATCTATATATTTTAGTTGTTGATAGAACTTTATTTTTATTTATTTATATGTGGTGCTGAAAATCGAACCCAGTGCCTCGCACATGCTAAGGTAAGCACTCCACCACTGAACTACAACCCCAACCCCAAGTCTGAATTCTTTTTTTTTTTTTTTTTTTTTTT